TATACCACTACTTTCGCCATCCCCACCCCCTCCCCCACTCACACACACTGTAAACCTTTTAATATAATGTGAAAGAGCTGAAATATGGTAGTGTCAAGAAATAATATTATGATTAATGTATGATGGAAGTTACTTGTTAGAAACTGACTTGATCGGCACAGAAAAAGAAACACTACTACAGTCTATGCTAGAAAGCAAACTGAAAGTGAGAAGCGCAATAAACTGCTGGTCATAGCCTCCGGTACTTTAACCAAAGACTTTTACTTTCTACACACCCACACACAATATCGACGTGCACTCGACTGTAAATATGTAATAAAAACAGTACTGTATGATGGCAAAAAGTCAATCGATACTGTACCAATGACGCTGTCCCATGCAGATTAAGTCTACAATCAGATACTATACAAAGCTGGACAAAGTTAGCACACAACAGTTTTCCATCATTATGTAACCAAACGTTCTTCATCACACTTCTCAGTTCTCAGAACACTGTTTAACAAAGTGGGGAAGTATGTCAAATGCTAATTATAGAACTTGGTGTCTAGCTGGTGTGACGGTGGATAAGGGGGGGGGAAGGGAGGGGGGTAGGCCCATTGTTTTCGGCCCAGACTGTGACAGCCGAGAGCCTGTCGCTCCTCGTTATAATTCTCCTTATATATCTTCACTAGACGATTCCTCTTTTCGCCGGCCAGACTCATATGGGCCAGGTACGTTATTAGTGGGGAGAAAGCGATGAATTATCACCAAACAGGAACTATAGGTGGCTAAAAATTCAATAAACAAAAAAGATTAGTGCCATGCTGACAATAAATGTTCTGATGATAGAGAAAGGCTGGATGATAAGTACATGTATTGCTTATAAAATAGTTCGTGTGTATGTGCTGCTCAAGACTCAAGACAGTCTCATTACTGATTTTGTAAGCAACACGGAGGCCACTTTGGCAACCAAGGGATGCTATATTCGCTCTTAGGGCAGTCGATGGATTTGTCCCCGCCGTGTTCGTTTGTCCTCGTACGAAGTTCCACGACGTGACGGCTTGACGGGAGACGATTTAAAGTTACGAGCTGGTGCGATAAACAAAGGTGAAGGAATGGGGCTCTGTGGCGACAAAGCAGCAGTGAGTCCCACTTGCCTATTTGAACGCCTTTAAATCGGCAAGGTGCTTTTTGACTGTTGATATATTATGTTTGTTTGGATTTACTTAAAACAGAATGAAAATCATCAGCAGAAATAAATCTCTTGTCAACAGTCCAGCTGACAAAAGGTGACCGGCACCGCGGTCTTGCCCAGTTAACAAACCGCCCCTGCAGTTTAGAACACTTGAGAAATGTTTCAGGATAGCTGCTCAAACTGTAAAACAATGTCCAGGACTTTCACTCGTCATCCAGCGTACTGTT